TAACATAACTTCAGCATCGTTGGCGTCGGATTGAGAGTATCCATGGAGGAAGATTGACGATAGTATTAGAACGATGGTGGACAAAAGCTTCAATCCCACATGAGTTCTCATCTTCTGTTAGAGAGAGAAAGAGAAAGAGAGAAATGTTCAGTTAGTGTTTGGGAGGTTGAAGAAGAAGCTGAACATGGCAACCCAAGGAAATACAGAGTTTGTGTGTTCTAATAAGGTAAATATTTATTTAGTCCTTAAACTTTCAGAATGTTTCAAATTTTACCCTATTTCTTTTTTGACCAAAAAAATGTCAACTTGGTTTGAGTGGGTTGAACACAAAGAATACAGCGAACTTTGTGTTAATTTTTTAATCTGATTATCAAAGAAAAAGCTTGAATCTTACAAAAAGTTTAAGCAACTTGATTACTATTACATTATATAAACTTTTATATAGTTTATAATATTTGTATTTTCATCGTCAATAAATTTTATATTAAATGTATGTTTAATAACACTTACTGAAAATTGAATGTAATAACCCGATAGCCGGTAGCAGAAAACTTCCAAAAACTATTAAAAGTTTCATACCAAAAATGCCCTAAAATACAGTTGATTGTGAATTATTATTACCAAACAATTTTTTTTTGCAAATACAAACACTTTGTGTTTTGGATTGTTCTAAAAGAATAAATAATTCAAATTCATTACTTTTTTTTTTATCTGATTTATCATTTAGCTATTGTAGATTTGTAGTCAATGTTCATCATGGCAATATTGATGTTCCATCAACAATTTTGTTTGATTTTATTTGTATATGAACATATAAACTTTTGATGATAAAGACGTGAATTTGTAACCCTATGGTTTCAAATCAATATTCTTTATCATATCTTGAAGTAGTGCATCTTAAAAAAAGCAAATACTACTAATTTTCGTCACCTTTCAAATTATTGTAACTTTTCAATGGATGTCTTAATTTGTATTTTATAACCTTTTATTTCGAAGGTTACAATAATTCTATTTTTTCTTTTGGATCGTGTCATGCTAAAAATATATAGTCCTTGTTAAATTAGTGCGAGATGTTAAGAGAAACTAAATACAAATATTTATAGATTTTTTCACATATTTAAATTCATATTTCTATGTTTTATAAACTCATAACGTTTTCAATCAAATTTCAATTAAAATATATAATGTAAGTCATCAATGGAATTGTGATTGTCAATATTTTCTTTATTGATTTCTTCTTACTTCCATCATGTCCCAATTGATGAATTAAATAGTTAAATAAGTCAATTTGATTAAAGTTAAAGCAAGTAATAAATGTAATCATCAAAGTATGAATATTGTATTAATAAATATATTTTTGTTTTATATAATGAAAAAGTTATGAGATCTTTATTTATGTGTCCAATAAACTACTAAAAAAACAAAAAGAAAAGTTTTTAAATAGCGAATGATCGTATTCTTCATTTACCATCGTAATTGATAATATATTAAGCTCTAATTTTCATGTTACATTAGAGCATACCACCAACACATCATTTAATTAATAATAAAAAAACGTAGATATGATATAATACCATTATAATTTTAAGGTACAAATTAAGTATTATAAAAACAAAGATAAAGAGATCCTCACACCACAACCACCCAAAAATAAAAAAAAATACATTGACAAATACAAGCCACAAGATGGTTGTGCATATCCAATTAATGATGACATTAAATTATTAAAACCAATCATGAAACGTGAAAACTAAAAGTCGTGGGTATAAATTGTGAACAGAAGAAAGGTTGAGTGGGGAAAATGTAAATTGGGTCTATGTAGCACATGGGGGTTGGAGCCCACTTAAAATATTTTGATTCTTGTGAAAACATGGGCCAAAAAGGCCTCATAAGAGCCAGGTTGGAGTTTTGATAGTTGCTTCTTTTTATGTATTTTTATTTTTATTTTAGTTTTAGCCTTTTCTAGTGCCAACTCCTTTCCCCAGGTTTCCCTCACCAACTTGTAATTCCCAAAATACCCCCACTCTCCAAATCTATACTCACCAAACTACCCTTGGTTACTCCATTCTTTTTCTAGAAGATATTCGATCTCCATTTATCCATTTATATGGTTTAAATGTTACTCCAATCTTTTTATAGACCGGCTGATATTTTGGTTTTTGGATGGATAGGAGGGAAGCATGCGTGTGTGGATTTTACTGGTGTATCTCCTCTCGTTGGTTTGGGGAGCAGAGGTTTTGCAGTTGGGCATGCCTCTTTGAAAGCCGTTGCGTGCAAAGTGGTAAAGCACGACAATGCATGTAGAGAAAATCAACATGTGTTTGTTCCTTTTGCATTCGATACATTTGGTTTTCTCGCACCAGAGGCGGTGGAGTTCCTTAACAGAATCCAACGAGTCATGCACTCTAATATCATATCTCCTAGATCCACAAATGTTGTTTTCAAAAGAATAGGTTTTGCCATCCAAAAAGGGTTAGCGGTGCAGCTTGTTGCCCGTTTGCCTTCAATCGATATGTATTGAATTCAATTTCGAAATTTAAAAATTAAAAAACTATTTGATTAATATTTTTAATTTTAATATTAAGTTTTTCTTCAAAAATATTTTGGTAGTTAGTAACAACAAATTTTATTTAATGTGTTATAAATGTGAGCTAGATACAAATAAGGTAGTAATAAATAAATAAATAATACTGTAAGTGTACGAACCGAATCATCTCACGCAATATGAAAAAACGCCATAGCACAATAAAGAATAGAGAGTAGTGTGAACAAATGATAAAAGAAAAAAACGTATGTGCAATAGAGTTACATAAAAGGGGTAAGGTTAAGCAACGTAAAATTATGTAGTAATGCCCCTAGTTTTAGGTAACAAATAACTACAATGAAACACTGTATATAGCACATGGAGAGATCAACTGAGAAAGATATGGTCAGGAAAAGATCAAGATGAAGGGGAAAGGAGGGGGGTGGAGCACAAAATATGTGGTATCTCTTTTTGAAATATATTGAGAGACTATTAGGCATATCTACTCTAATAAATGAAAATGACTTTGTCACATGTTCTTCTTTCATAAAATTAACCACATGTCATTTTGTCATAATTTGAGATATATTTATTTTCCACTTATCATTACTTTAATTTTCATTACAAATATATCATTAATTTAGTTTGCATAAATCAAACCTAGCATAATGACTATTAATTTCAAATTTTAAATTTCAATTTCAATTTCAAATAAATTTACAGTTTAAACCTTTATGTTTAACATTTTTTATAATTAACCCGTTTAGTACACACTAAACACAAAATTTTTATTTATTTATTTTTTGCATGTTTTTTTTCTGATAATTTTCACTTATTTCAGATTCAAATTCAAATAAATTTTCTATTTAATCGTTTGTACTTAACATTTTGTTTTAATCAACCCGTATCATATACGGGTCTCACAACTAGTTATAATAACAATTATTAGATTAGGAGGTTATTATCATTAGGAAATTTTCCTTTATTAGGCTTATTATTATAAGATTAGGATGTTATTATTGTCAGGAAAGTTTCCTTTTGACATATATTGGGATTCAAGAGACTCATATATAAATAACTATAGCATTTAATGAGAAAGACATGCATTGATTCCAATAACTATCATGGTGTCAAAGCATAATGTTTTCTCCCTCTCATAAAAGCTCACCCAAAGTCACTCCCCTCTCCTCTCATTCTCACAGAAACCGATTATATTGGCATTGGGTCCGATATCCTGACAGACGATGATCCATTTTTAGATACTGTGTTTTTATAGGAGACAACGTCATACCATGAATCTCTAACGTTGTTTGTGTGTTGGATTTGAAATTTATCCCTCCAACTCTCTTTACGTATCATGAGTAGTGAATCCAAGAGTTTTCTTGATTAGGGGGCTAGCAATTAACTATACGTTCGGGTCGAGACAAAATGGTCAAAATGATTGGGTCGAGTAAAAAATATCAGGTTTGATATAAATAGTCTACTTTTCTAGTAGTATAAAGAAAAAATTTACAAGTAATATACATTTAAACAAGAAAGATGTGTGATTAAATGGTACAATTATCATTTTATAAGTTTAAAAAAATCATATAACATACTATCGAACATAAGATTTCAAAGATCAGACAATTAACAAAATTTATCAATTTAACAAAATTTTAGTATATGATTGACTTCGGAGTTCAAATAAACATATGCCCTATAAACATAATTTGAAAATAAATATATAATATCTCTGGAAAATCAATTCATTTGGGATTTTAAAAATCATACAAAGAAAAATATAATTAAATTTGAAACTTAACTGACAAAATCAAGTCAATATCTTTGATTTAATGGGCCAAAGCATTGCGGTCTAAAGTTATGTAAAAGAGAAGATATAAGAACAGTTTATATGTAATGAATCAATTTTATATTTCTGTGTATTCAATGATTCAATTACATGGAGGTATTTATAAGTAATATATAAGAGAATTTAGCCCTTAAAGTAAATGATATAACATTTGTCTTTTTTGTAAGTTCAACTTTATCTTCTTTCTTTTCCATTAAATATAGTTGAAAATACAAAACTCCACATATTAAGCAACTTATTTCAATGTACAAGAAAACTTCAAAGCATTCGTAAACCAAACTTCGGTGTTTCAATTACCAAACACAAACATAAACCCAAAAACCTAGAAACAAAGAAAAAAAAACAAAATATTTCTCAAATTCAAATACAAGTTTACAACTTACCCATGAATTAAAAATTATTAAATTACAACCCTATTGGACCAAAAACGTGTATACGTGTACAAAAAAAACCCATGTCCAAATACACCCCCTGTGCACCATTTTTGCACCTTCATAAATACTTTGTTTTTCACAACAATCACATCCCCCAAAATTCTTTCCCCATTAAGACCTTTTTCAAGCCATTAACATCATAACATGATAACACACTGAATTGAATCTTGAATCTCGACTCTTGACCCCATCACACTGAAATTGTGCCACGTGTCTGTATGGCATCCTGTAGGCACTTAACAGCTCCATCATAATTTAAAAATCCCATGTACCAAAACTCATGACTATCCACTGATATCACCTGAATATATTTCTCAGATGAATTTGCCCTACTTGATGATGGGTTCACTTCCTTTAACTGCTGTAATGGTATTATCACCTATTAATATTTTAAAAAAAAAAAAAAATTAGTCTATTTAATAATTATAATATGTTTTTCAGCTACATTGCCTGAATATATATTGTACCTTATAATAGCTCCATTCGGTTTTGTCATTGGATTTATATGACAATGGGTTGTCACTACAGAATGCAAGTTTTGCAGTGGATACATATAAGACACCCATGACAGGGCCTGCTGACGTGGACAGGTAGCAAGCATATGAATTTTGAAGAATCTCTTCTGGAACTGTATCAAATGTCTGTCTGAATATCTTTTCATAGCCTCCTTCTGCTAGAACTTTAGTTCCCTGTGCTATTCTTCCTAATGCAGCATCTGTAAGACTAGGAGCCGTTTTCACTGATATAAAAACAAGAATTTAATGAAGAAATGTCATAATACATAGTTCTTAATGTATTGTTTTCAATAAATCAATTTGAGAATTAACTTTTCGGTTTTGTTCATAATATTGGAGTTGCTTCGAAAATGAGATTCGCCATTAGTCTCCTCAAATGTTTCATGTATTTGAAGCCTATCATGTTTAGTGTTATATGCAATTTGATAGGTTCCTTTTTTATACTCAAGAAAACTATCAGCATCATAGGCTATACATATTCCTAAATGCAGTTGAAAGGATTTAAAATTGGGGAATATTTTGCAATTTATATCAACTGGACTTATTTGATAGTTGTCTTGATCATATATGGTTTATCCACAATGACACAAATAGATGAATGAAACTAACTTGAAGGAAAAAGAAAGGCGAAGAAACATACAAAAAGAAAAGGTTAAAAACTTACAATGTTGCCAAGTATTGCCGGCGAGATCCTCTGCTTTTTTTGTAGCTTCTCCGACCTTCTTTCTCCATCTACCAAGAGCACCTTTAATATTGTCCATAGAATCTGTAAAACGCAGAAGAAACTGTGAATCTATGAACATATCGTCTGTTCTTATTAGTTGTTGTCCAATTACAACTCAATCCATGAACACTATTATATAAACTTCGGGAAAAGAGTAACATGCAAGACAAGAATTTCAATTTTTGCATACAAAGTATAACCTGAGAAGTGGAACTACGATAGGTATCCAAAGGCAATTTGAGAAATAATAAGTTTTTGCAGGCTTGGAAAGTAAGACAGGAAAAAACCTAACTGTTGATGTTGAATGCTGGAGAATTGGATGATCCCTGAGAACGATTAACATAAGGATTAGATGAATCGTAATCGTCATCACTCTTCTCCAGCGGTGGCAACGTCCTCTCCTCCACCAAATCATGACTCCACCGAACCGATTTCTTCGATCGGATAGCCGTCGGCGACGGCGAATAAGTTCCCGGTGTTGTTGTTGACGAAGAATGGTCATCAGTTATCTCAGCATTGTCCCTTTCAAGGGAAACCGGATGGGTTTTCGGGCTCGGATCCGGATCCTGAGCCAGCTTAACATGAATCGGGGAGTGATCGCGATCCGATGCATCCGATTTCTTCGTCAAGTTCTCTTCTCCTGTAGAACCGTTCGGCGATTCCATCATCTGGACAGGCTTTTTGATTGATAAAGCTTTTTAGTTCTAGCTTTTGAAGAACGGATGGAATTCGACGGCGCGTGAGGTGGCGCGTCAAAAAACGGCGCCCAACGCGGGATGCGAATGAAATCGAGTCTCTTTGTTTTCTATTACGATTTTCAGGTCCGACATTTTCAATATATTTCGCAGGGGAGATGAAATGGATTCCTCCTCCTTTCCTCTCTTGGGAAAAGAGATTCGATCTTGAAGTATTAACTAAAACCAAGTCTAACCCCTCAATTTCGAACTTCTTTTAACTTTAACCCTTGATCTAAAACTTTTAGGGGTAATTCTAGAAAGACTAAATTTCAAATTTGGCCCTTGGGGTTAGTAAAAAAAAAAGACAATAGATAAAAGTGAAAAATTGTCCATGTGGTATGTATTTTTTTAAGGTTTTAATCAAACTCCAACTTTTTTAGCTTCATGGTCATTTTGATCATTTTTGTACGTAAATTTGGTCCCTCGTAAAATTAAAATGACTGTAATGTTCTTCTGATATATTTTTTTATGTTTTTTTCTGTTTAATTTAAATGAAAAAGGAAATAAATAATTAATTTGTGCCTCTTTCTCTCTCTTTCTCTCCCCTCTCTCTCTCTCTCTCTCTCTCTCTCTCTTTCTCTCTGCCCTGTGCAAACCCATTTGCGATCCAACCCTTGTTCACAATCGATTCCAGCATTAGAGATGCAATTTCTTTCTTACAAACATTCGATTCCACCATCAAAGATCCGATTTACCATTCTCAAATAATCGATTCTTGCATTTGGATTGTATACCCTTCACCCTATTTTATTTCTTTCCTTTACTGATTGTGTGAGACACACACGTACACTGATGGTGGGCATATCCCCATTTGTCCGTGATGGGATAATCCATGATCAAGACATTGTGTCATTCATGTATTATGATCAACCCATGCAAGATGCAAACCAAATCAATCTATTAATTTCTCCCTTCATAAGGTATTACGTCAAGTTTGCTCCACTCCACTCAGATGATGATCCTCAAACAATCATCAGAACCAAGAGAGAAAGATTGAAGACATTCTACTCCGTCAATGCACAACCTCAAAAGGAAGTGTGGTCTCGTAAGAGAATCAAAAAAATTACTGGTTTCTGACGAAAAGTTCAGAGGAAGTTTGACATGAACTGCATGTTGTACAGGTACTACATCAATTGGAACAAAACAACCACCATCATCATTACGGATGAAAACTTTCCTTCCATCAATCCAAATGATGTTCTCACGATTGCCACCTACTTCTGAATTTGCCAGAATGATCAAATGAGCTTTATTGCTTACAGTGCCACAATGAACTTCCTCAAAGACTATGTTGCTGATTTATGCCGATGTGATCTCCAACTTGCACATCTGTTCGGAACTGAAAAACTTTTGGCTAAGATCGACTATAAACTGCCTGAAGAAGAAATTCTGGCAGAAGGACCTATAGAGGAATCAATGCTCTAATATGTCTTCCAAAAGAAGACCAATAGAAAGGATTTCTTTCGAGTCCTTGACAAACACCTCGTTCCCTCCAAGATCCTCCAAAATCTCATTGCCAATGTAGCCAAGTCTGATGCTCCAGATCACGTGAATAACAAATTCATCAACCATCTCCAATGGTACCTGGAAGTCCGAAATTGGCTCTACAGAGCTTACATGTTCATTAATGAAGAAGCCAACTAGGTTGACATGATTGCTAAGTTCACTTAATGGGAGATTATTGAATCATGAAAAGTGAACCTCTAGCAATCCCAAACAATCAAGTTCCGATATCAGCTGATTCTGAGATTATGGTGAAGTTCTGAGATGGAGATCAATCTGAGATCGAGATGTTCCGAGATCTGAAGTATGTTCACACATTTAATGCATTTTATCTTAACTTTGATGTAACAGTTCATAGGACTTACTTTTGTGTATCTTTTAGATACTAGTTTGTCAAACACTGATTATTGTCTAGTCCAAAGAATGTTCTTTGATTTGTACTATGTTCCTCCTCCACTATATATGGAATGAATGTTTCACCATTTAATGATATGTGAATAATTCAAGTTTTACTCCAAAAATTGCAAATATTATCTTCACATCACTTTCACTTTTCTTTCAAGTCATAGTTCTTCCAATACATTCTTCTTTTTCTTTAAATATCTTTACATTGATTATACTCTAAGTATACTTCATTTAATACTTGAAGGTTTGAGTGGTTTTGATGTGTTTTACTCTCCATTCTAATCCATCTTGCATAATTTTCATCCCTTTCAAATTATGAAATTGAATTCCTATTTTTATGTGAATAAAGACATGGGTTTCCAAATGAAAATTGAAATGTGGATATTGCAATAAATTAGATATGTAACTTACAAAAACAAACATACTATGTTTCCGTCACAACAGAGAAGACACCGACGATGAAAGGTGGAATTAAAAGAAGTTTAGGAAAGCAACACCGGGATATGCGTGAAAGAGAATGTGACAACCCGAAATTTTCATTTGTACGAACATCATCTATTCAATAGAAGCTAGTCCAATTTCTGTAAATTTCAGACTTGTCCGAACAAGTTTGTGTACATTAGGGTTTACGTTTCTGGACATATCCGGAGAATGGATGCTCCAATGATCGTGAAACTTGAACATTGTAAGTTTCACAATGTTATAGTCCGACTTCCGGAATAAAAATATTTTCTGTCAAAATATTCCAGGACTATAAATAGTTTTCTGAACTAAATTAATTCATTATTTACAATTCCAACTAGAGAAAAGCCAATTCTCTCTGACGGATCTTCGGGTTTTCATCCCGGATTGTGATTCTACTTTCCTAAATATGTTTTAATACTTGCTATATGCTTTATAACATCATTTATATGTCCAAAAACACAAGTTAGAGGAGTTTACGGCCAAAGAACTCTTGGGCCGTAAACCCCTTTTTAATGGACAAACATGCCCTAACTTGCCTCCTTGAGCCTTAAGACTTTAACCACTAGTACTTGTGCTTGTTTTGGACTTGAAAACACTTCAAAATGATAGAGTTTTAGGAGTTTACGGCCAAGGAAGGGGATCTTGGGCCGTAAACCCCTCTTTCTTATGTAAAAATCATTCCAAGCACACCTAAGGCCTTAAGACAATTTACCTTGCATACTTGGGACTAGAATGGAGAGTAGAACACATCAAAACCACTCCTTGAAAGGAGTTTACGGCCAATGAACATATCTTGGGCCGTAAACTCCAAGTGATGCCCCCAAAAGTGTGCCTCTTGTCCCCATAAGCCTTAGATAAATTCATGGAAGCCATCCTTGATGTTTAAGAGCCTCAAAACAATTAAAAGCCATCACCCCATAGGAGTTTACGGACGTAAACTCTAGGGTGAGAGGACTTTGGGCCGAAAACTCCACTAAGGAGTATTCTAGAGCCTTAAACTACTCCATAGGTTATTCCAACAAAGCTAGGAGTGAGCTAGGACCAAGATAGCACCATAAAACACCCAAAACCAACCTTTGAGGAGTTCACAGCCATAAACCCATGAGTTTACGGCCGTAAACTCCAAGATGTGGGGTTTGTTGGGTGGTGAACTCCTATGCAAGGCCATTTGATGTTTCAAACCCTTTTGCCTTGTCCCGTAACAACTTAGATGCAACCATTTGAACCATAAACACTCATAAGAGTGTTTACATGTTCCTAATTGTATTAACTTACTTTGTTAAGTTATTATGTGGCTAATTAGTTATATATATGCTTATTATATGATAACTAGGCTCGAACGTGTGAACAAGTCTCCGTTTGACACTTAGCACGGTACCCGATACCTCAATTCAAACGACTCACCACATGTGAGTTCATACCCCTTGAATCAACCTTTGAAATGATTTTAAATGTTTTAAATACTTTATGGGGGGGGGGGGATACAAGTCAAATACTTATAGTTATTGCTTCAATCACATGTGATTGCATTTAATCACATGTGATTAATAACTAGGAAAACAACGATTTTTACCAATGTTCAAACTGTTTATCAAACTGTTTCACTTCAAATGTTTTACAAACTCTTTTTACTTATCAAATGCTTTTATTAAAATTTGTTTTACTTCTTATAAATTGCATGCCCATATATGTATATATATAAGTAATGTTTAAAGGGCTTAGGAAGGCCATCCGCCCTATTTCCTTTTCGCTTCTGGTGGGACTTCGGGTGACCATCCGAAAGTCGTTTCAACATTAGTTATATATAATATATACATGTATAGACATAAAAGTACTTCCATATTCATATTTATCAGTACATCAATAGTTAGTTACCATCGGGGTAACACAGTACAATACATATACATATACTAGAAACAATACATATACAATGATGCTAGAAACAATACATATACATATACTAGAAACAATACATATACAATGATGCTAGAAACAATACATATACATATACTAGAAACAATACATATACAATGATGCTAGAAACAATACATATACATATACTAGAAACAATACATATACAATGATACTAGAAACAATACATATACATATACTAGAAACAATACATATACAATGATGCTAGAAACAATACATATACATATACTAGAACGAGAAACAGTAGATATACATGAATACTTTATTATTGTGATTTAAATCGGAGCATGACTTAACTGTCATGGCTCGAGTTGTAGCCAGAATTCTCTTGAAGGGAGAGCGTGAGTTTGCGTATAGATCTATACTGGATTGACAATCCTACACCTTGCTGCTAGCTACAGCCGGACCTGCAGGTCTGCGGGTGCCAAACGTCATTCCGTTATTACGACCATTCATTTGTCGTTGTTACTAGTCGATAGTATGGTGCAATTTATCACGTAATGCCTTAATATAAATCCGGTTTAAGGTAGTTAGTACCGCAGTAGTTCTTATAATACAAAGGCTACAGTACTACATTAATTTACCCATTACATATTTTAGTGATAACCTCACTTAAACGTTTATGTACAAACTATATTTTGTTAAATGATAGTTACATTTGGGAAATTACACACTTTTACATCAAACGAACATACAAAACAGTTAAGCCTTGGTAGAAGGCTTCTTTAATAGAAAATATAGGTTTTTCTGAGAGATTCAACTTTTACAAACAATTGCAAACTTTTACATACATTTTACAAACTATACTTGATACAGTTCAAACATTTT